TAGAATAGAATAGAATAGAATAGAATAGAATAGAATAGAATAGAATACTGTAAAATCTCCAATCAGAGGTGGTATTTGCCAGTTCTCCAAACTACTCAAAATTTCCACTACCAGTTCTGCAGAACCTGGTCAGAACCTGCTGAATACCACCTCTGCTTCATAGCAAAATTCAGTCATTGTGGAAGTGATATCAATGCAGGTGATCTCCAAAGATCAGTGTCACCACGTCAACAGTATGATCATTAAATAGACATTTTAAATAGCCCAAAATCAATGAAAAAAATATATGCAAGAGGAAAACTGGCATCTTTGCACTGAAGCAAGTCTGATACTACAATTAACCATTAAATACTCTTTTCTTTTCATCTTTAGGACTCTACACGTCTGAACATGGATAATAAGAAGTTTACAGCTCTGGAGGGCACTAATTATCTCTTGATCAATCCTATTTTGATGCATGATTCAGGCTATTATACTTGTGAAATGACCTTCGCGTTTGAAAAGGAACAATATAATATTACCAGAATTGTTCAGCTACAGATACTTGGTAAAAGAAACACAAAAACACTCAAAACTATTTGAGTGAATGGAGTAGTTATAACTATTAAATGTGATATTAACAGTTGCTTGAGTTTCCATCAGGATAAATTTTATAACTTGAGGTAGGTTTGCAAATTATAGAAGATGGTGCTGTAGCTCATTATGAGGACCAATTTTTCAAGAAAAAAGTTTTTAGAGTTAGATGTTAGTTCCAGGTAAGGTGGTGAAAAATTCCTTTCTGTGACTCTTACAAGCTGTGGCCAGGGTAGAAAGCATTTATCTAGATGGCACAATGGTGAGTTTTCAAATAAGGCTATTCCATTGGATGCTAGACATGATATGTAAACATTTTGCAATCAGCCTTACCAGTTACTCTCAATTTTTAGGTTTGTTTCTTGATATAAGACCAAAAGTATGATATAGTAAAAGAAATAGAGATGTATAGTATGTATAATTGTACATCAGTTGATTAAACCAACCTTTTTCAATGTAATTGCAGATGCACAAAGTCTGCTTATCTCTAAGTATAAATAGTTTGCTAGAAAGTGATCTGGCAGAGAATTGGGGTGGGGTGGGGAGGATAAGATGTAAACAGAAAGTTCCTTATCTTCAAGGTTCTCAGCATTAGAGCTGTCAAATGCCAAAATTACAAGATTAACCAGTACAACATTCCAGCTACTTGCTTCAGATAACTTTCTGAAATATCTTCATGGAGTGACAGCATAAATCCTTAACTGTCAATGGAAGCTAAAACTGATGTCTTAAACAAAGAAATCCAACAATTATATCCAAAGACAGCTGTTTGAAATAATTTCAGGCAAATAGATATACTTAGTGATACAAAAAATAAACTAGGACATGAGATTTTCTTCAGAAGAAAAACTGGCTTCAGTCCCATTCTCTTTTTAAAAGTTTTTAAACTAGCTTTTTTGATGATTGAACCATAAACAACATAGGAATGTGTTGCCTATAGGTAGCCAAAAGATGGAAGTAATGTGTAAAAACATTACTAATAAACAGCACATTTCTCCTCTTTGCCAATGTTAAAATGTTTCCAACTAGCAGAGATCTTCGATAAAATTCAGAAAGACCAGAAGGGTCTTACCTCTATGTTTTAAGTAGCGAAGACAAGAAATCCACCATGCCACTTAAAAGGCCTAAGGTGAGGTAAAAGGTAGCACTGAAAATGGACTTTACAATATTTGCTATACCCCAGCATGCATCAGTGCTAATTCCTAGGCCAATTATCTCCTTTCAACTGCCCAGTCTGATTCTGAAAACTATCCCATATTCAACCTTTGTTCTTTGTTTTTTTTTATTTTTGTAACTTGAAGAGAACAAGAACTATTTTGGTGGTTTGCATTTTCTTGCAAACTATATGTCCTTTTTTTTCTGCCTACAGCTGGGACAAACTATGGGCCTACTGGTTTACAGCCCCCATTTCTCCCGCTGTCTAGCGGGCCAAATTAGTTAATTTTGGTCTGGAGCTCACAAAGATGCAATTGTATTCAGTATTTTACTTCTTCACACTATTTGCTGCTCTATGAGTTTGTCTACATTCTCAGTATACTAAACCAGGGGTGTCAAGCTTGATTTCATTGAGGGTCGCATCAGGGTTGTATTTGATCTCAACGGGCCGGAATGGGCATGGCGAGGTTGGGCATGGCCAGCTTGATGTCACTCGTGTCAGAGTGCCTATGGTGGCAGGGGCACCATGGGCCAGTCCTTTGCTGTTTCCAAAGTGGCCCTATGGTAAGGTGACCAACCGTCCTCCTTTAGGGAGGACAGTCCTCCTTTTGTAAGTTCTGTCCTCTCTCAAAAAGTGTCCTCCTACATGTCCTCCTTTCTGATATTTGAAGACTAATCTGAAAAATCTCTGTATTTGATCAATGCCGATCCGATCCATTGTGTGTGATGTGACATATTTGTATTTGACATGATGATTCGTCAAGGCTCGGTACAGTGCAGCGAGATGCGATTATGAGAAGCATGCGCTCCGCACAGGAGAATTGTTTTGAGAGAGTGTGCTGTGTGCAAGAGGGCACCCTGCACAAGTGGCTTTCTTTCTTTTTCTTCAATTTATTTGTGTCTTCCTTCTCATTGTAAAAAAGTTGGTCACCTTACCCTACAGGCCACATCTAAGCACCCCACGAACAGGATTCAGCCTGCAGGCCTTGAGTTTGACACCTCTGTGTTAAACTGAGCAAACAAACAAGCAACTTTACTTACTAACCATGGTTTTAAAAACAGATTGGGGATATGCACTTTCCTGTTTTAAATGCCCTGAATTGTAAGACCATGATGATTATAGAAACAAAATGAATGAATTGCTGTGGGTATTCTGTTGCTAACTCCATGTCCTTGGAAATGATCACCATTTAATTGTAGAAAAGAGTGCATAATGTTGAAATATTAATAAGCATGTTCAAGTGGATAACCCCCAACTCTTAAACCACAGGGTATAATACGAAGATAGGCTCAAGCAATATCCCACTTTTGTGAACTCTAGCATGTCTGTATGATACCCTGTTTTCCTCAGATCCTATTGATCTCTGGGTAATCACTGTGAAATGTGCAGATTTTTGGCCTTAGTCCCAGCAAGCCTAAAGGATCAGCTATTGTAGGAAGTGAGGTTCATATTTCTGGAGAACTTCTAGGCTGAGTAGGCTATCTTTATTTTATTAATGAATCAAATTTATATAGTCATTCATCTCACAAAAACTGACTCTGGGTAGTATAAAATAACCCTTATGCTTCAACTCTCTGCCAACAGAAAGCTGCTCCTGCAAACTATAAGATATGTCCTTTTTTGCTGCCTATAGCTGGGACAAACTGGTTTACTGCATTACAATAGCTTACTTGCAGCCTAGATTATAGTCCAACATGAGAACCAGAACCGAGGCCAAATATTGACTTTGAAATTTTTGATTGTTGATGTTCAGTTTTATATGGAAAAGATCACTACTGTTATAGCAGTTATTAGAATGCATGCATGTTGTAATGATGATATATTGTTTCAAACATCTAATGATTTTCCCTGATTTTTTCACTAGAAAAAAAGGAAAAAAATATCCCCTTGATTGCCAATCCAAATGAAAGGATTACATCAGTTGCTCTTGGTAAGGCCAATGATTTATTTAAGGTACTTATGCACAGTGAGGGCAATGGTTAACCTGATGTTAACTGCTTTTCTGATTCGGGCAGAACCAGATTAGACGCTCAATGCTAGTCCATTCTTCATAAACATCTGTGATGGCACAAAGGCAACACAGTCACATAAGTAAGGAGAGTCCCTTCAGTACCTCCAATTTTGCTCCCAATGTTCAGGTTACCTTTGGCTGTAGAAAAAAACTCTGCGAAGAACAGTCTTTAAGTGGAGGAAATTCAGACTGAAAACGAAGTACATACAAACTGTAAATAAAAATCCACACAAATCACGCTGCAGCAATTAACTTGACAGGGCAGGATAAGGAATTGCAAACTTGAAAGGCCAGCAAAACACATACAGTTGGGAAGACGCCAGAAACCCAGATAACCTCAACAATACAAGATGATACACAATTTGCTCTCAACAGTTGGCTGTACACAACTTCCCTTTTTAAACACTGTGTTCCCAGCTGTAGCTAATGAAAGGAATCAGGGCCCTTTCATCCCCCATAAGCCACGCAACTCACGTTGCTCCCTTCGTTTCTCCCTGTGTGCCCTAGGATGAAGAGGGGGTGGGCCTGGGTCTTCCTCTGAATTCCCTCTGCCTTGCTCTACCTCTCCCCTCCTCTGCCCAGCCAGACTTTGCCCTTCCCCAGTTTCTTCCATGGCCAATGGAGCCACACTCCCACTCCTTGTCAGTTGCTCGGCCTCCCCCTCAGAATCAGATTCCGACAGGGCCATGGCAAGTCTTAAAACAATTGTCAAATCTAGGATACATTCCAGCTGAAATTACAGCTAATGTTAATGTTAATACTAAATGTGTCAGCTAAGCCAACCTTGTCTGGGGTTGGATGTTAATCAGGCTTTGTTAGAAGTTGGATAGGACACTAACAGTGAATACTTGAGCTGTGGGTTTGCTCGAATTGAAGAAGACTTTTCACTAGTTAGCACGGTATCAGGGCCAATTTTTTTTAAAAAAGTCCAAAATGTTGAATGAATGATACATTGTGGACTCAAATCAATTTCTAAAATGTAAATGAGTTAAACTTTTGATGACTTCTTGGACACATCCAGATGTTTCTTAAAAACAATGAAGATGTGATTTACCAATGCAAATTTTCTTGTGAAAAGTTTTTTTTAAACATCCTGGTCTTGCACATAGCCTGAGAACTTTGTATGGTCTTCTATTCAAATTACCAAAGATAGTCATCACCGTATAGAGATTTCCCCAAAATTTGGAAAGAAGTTGCTGTCTAGCTAGATAGGTTCCATGATTGAAGCCACAATTATTTGGGAAGATCCAAGCCAGGTGTTTGATGCCAGTCCCTAGTATTCATTCCTGGATTTTTTTCAGAGTTGAAAGAAGAGTTTCCAACATTTTTTTCTTGTGCTGCTTAGATGGCAAAAATATACAAACAGTAGTCAAAAGGAGCAACTATGCAATATTTTGTGGATAGTTCCGCCTGAAACCATTAATATCTCCAACCAACAATAGGAAAGGGAGAATCTGATTCTGTAACCACAGCCTTGGAAGGAAAGTAGAAATGCCACACGATACATGTGTCATGATCGGATTTCTTTTTCTCCTCCTCCAATTGGCTAGGATCCACTGGATCTTTGTCCTGGATTAGCCACATTCTCTACAAGTATGGCCCTTGTGATGCTAGGCTGTGTTGCAATTTGCTATCAGGGCTACTCCAGTTCTCAGCTGGAGCAGCCCTGATAGCCTAGCATCACAAGGGCCATGCTTGTAGAGAATGTGGCTAATATGAGGTTCATCAATGAATGCATGAAAGCAAATAGTCTGGACTTACTGCTGAAAAACATGAGATCTCTGCTCAACATAGCCTGCTGGGTCTCTGTCTCTTCCTTGAAGGATGAGCAGAAATTTAACAATTGGTTTTCAAGAATCAGACCAAGCTACCTAGATAACAACCCTAATAAAGAACTTCATTTGTGAATGAATTGAGTATATGTCCTAGCAGAAGCAGATTGCTCTGTAGGAATAAGACATAGGTACAAAACAACTGCATTGACTCACATGATTCTGGACTCTTTGAGTGGAAGCATGACTCAAGAAGGATGGGGTTGCGGGATGCGGTATTGGTAGTTCAAGGAGTGATTAGTTAAATAACTTTGAAACTGTTTTTTTTTTAAATTCTGCATATATTGGGTAAGCACTGCAATACTGAGTAAATTGTTCAAATCTCAGTGATATTACCAGCATACTTTTATTCTCTTGACTTCAGTGTTGTTCTGAAGAATCTATTTGGAGCTAATACATTCTGTAAATATTTTACAATCAGTAATGGGATAATAAAATATTGTTTATTTACAGAAACAAAAGCCAGTTGTAAAAATAAATTAAACTCTAAATTGGGCATAAAATGAGTTTGCTAAAAACATTGATATTCCATGGTGCTTACAACACATAATATGGAGTCATGAATAGTCACAGATTACTGATGAACAAAAAGTTCAAGTGCTTAAATTACTCTTTTTATGACTATCCATTATCAGGCATTATGATATGCTGGTCAATGTTAGTCACCTTTTTACATGTTTATTTTCTTTTATTAACAAGAACAGATTACAAAACAGAAAAACTAACATCTTACACTAACAATAAGGAAAAAAAGGTAAAGAAAAAAAAGCCCCAAATGGCAAATAGATATTATTATATTATTAGTCACCTTGATTAGAACTGCTAAAAGGGAAACCGTTTTAAGCTCACTTTCCCACACTCCAGAGGTGTGTGTGTGAGAGAGAGAAAGAGAGCAATCTTGCCTGCATAAAGTTATTGAAAAAAGGTGATGATTTTAACCTCCATTTCCATTTTTTTTTTCATTACTGAATCTATGGAAGAGTCCTCTAGGCACTAATGTGGCCAATTACCCATGCCCAAGTGCCAAATGATGAACAAGGTTTGGTAATGAGGATGTTTATATTTTGGTACGGTTTTTTTTTTTTTTTTGCAGGGATGTGTGTGTTGCACTTATATCAGGTGGTCATAAACACAGTGTGCAATATTATCCCTATTCCCCCTAGGGCTTCATGCTGGGTCTTTGATCATGCCTGTTACTTTAATGAAATGAAAATCAGTGGCTTACATTTGGCCTCCTGATTAGGTGAAACTAATTTGACTGGGGTACTTGTCCAATTCCATACTTGCAGTTGCTGAAGTGGATTTCTCCCTGGATCCCATAACTATTTGAAAGCCAATAGCATTACAGTATTTCAGAGTAACTGCATGAGAATTGCAAACCGTGCTGTCTTTCTGAAAGCAATTAATCATAGAACTAATTTCTTCTCTAGCTAGAATCAGTATTCTCTGGTACATACTTGAACTAATACCAGGACTAATTAAAAATTGAACAAAAATCAGTGAGTATGCTGAAATTAAACCAACCTATTAAAGTCGAGTTACATCATAACTACTTAATCCTGGTTGCTAAATGTTCTTCTGAAAATACCTTAAAAATTCAAGGTTGGGATGGTTTTTTCCTGTAGACATATATTTTCTGGACTATATATATTTATTTGCCTTAACTCTGTATTTCATTTCAAAACAGGTTCTCACCTCACCATCCCATGTAGAGTTTTCATTGGAGCAAATAATCATTCTGATGTTGATGTCTGGTGGCTGGCTAACAACAGTTATATACAAACCATTTACCCAGATGGCAGAGTTAAGGAAGGAGAAACTGGGTAAATGTTGTCTTTTATTTTTATTGCTTTTAAGATAATAACAGAAAAAAACAACATCTATATATACATTGTCAAAAAGAAAGAAAAAAGACAAGTGCTTAAAAATAATGAAGAAATTACAACAGAATATATATATATATATGTATGTATGTATATATGTATGTATGTATGGCATTTGTTCGGGTATTTTCCCACGTCATTGTAGTTGTGCTTTTAAAGTTGTAGCAATGTTTCGGCAGAATCTCATCTGCCATCATCAGGCTTCTGATGATGATGATGATGATGATGGCAGATGAGATTCTGCCGAAACGTTGCTACAACTTTAAAAGCACAACTACAATGACGTGGGAAAATACCTGAACAAAGCTGAATGCCATACATGTAAGTACCCGCGAGAACCTCAGAAAACATATATATATAGAGATAGAAAAATGCCCACACAGCATGAACAAACGAGATGACACCTCCTGCCTTCCAGCCATTTGGAAACCCGCCCTCATGAACAGACGAGTACCTAACATGAAGAAGGACACCAGACCCACACCCATGAGAGCCACACAAGATGCCACCACCACACTTCCATGTAGAAAACAGACTCACACCCACTCAGAAGATGAGACACGACCATGGACCAGAAGCTGCACTGCAGCTGCATCACTACCCACTTCAAACCCCTCCAAGCCATACATGAAGCAAACCGACACCCACTATGAAGATGCAGCACGACCACGAACTCGAAGCCAAACAGCAAGATCACAGCTCACCAACTCAAATCCCCCAGCTACTAAGACTAACCTGAGCACAACCAAGCCCCCACCTGAACAGAACACGTCTCCAAACCCGAACAACCAAAGATCCATATATATATATATATATTCTGAGGTTCTCGCGGGTATTTGTATGTGGATCTTTGGTTGTTCGGGTTTTCTCCCGCGTAAGATTCGAAGTATCTAGGCAACGTTTCAATGAAGTCTCATTCATCATCTTCAGGCTTCTGTCTTCGGCTCTGTGCTTCTCAGAGTGATGTGAGATTGCAGCTGCTTCTTCCTTTTAACTGCTAGTGGGGGTGGGATTTGATTGGGTGGGGGCTTGGCTGTGTTCTGATTGGGTGGGGGTGTGTTCTCATTGGTAGGGGGTTTGGCTGTGTTCTGATTGGTTGTGGGGTTGGCATTCAGCTTTGTTCGGGTATTTTCCCACATCATTGTAGTTGTGCTTTTAAAGTTGTAGCAACGTTTCGGCAGAATCTCATCTGCCATCATCAGGCTTCTGTATATTGTTCATCTGTGAGTCAGACTTTTACAGTGGTTTCAGATTTAAATTTGGGGCAGCCTATTGCTGTGCCAGAATGTTTTTTTCTTCATCCTGATTGGTTGGGAGTCTTGGCCTGTGTTTATTGGTCTTGGAGTTTGCTGTGTTCTGCTTGATTGGTGTTTCTAATATCTTCTGTCTGTTTTTTGGCTCTATTTGTATCTTGATTGGCTGGCAACATTGTGTTACTTTATTGGAGGCCTTTAGTACCCGTGAAAACTTAAGAAAACATATACACACACACACACGCACACACACACACACAGATGAACACTATACAGAAGCCTGATGATGGCAGATGAGATTCTGCTGAAACGTTGCTACAACTTTAAAAGCACAACTACAATGACGTAGGAAAATACCCGAACAAAGCTGAATGCCAACCCCACAACCAATCAGAACACAGCCAAACCCCCTACCAATGAGAACACACCCCCACCCAATCAGAACACAGCCAAGCCCCCACCCAATCAAATCCCACCCCCACTAGCAGTTAAAAGGAAGAAGCAGCTGCAATCTCACATCACTCTGAGAAGCACAGAGCCGAAGACAGAAGCCTGAAGATGATGAATGAGACTTCAT